TACCTCAAAGAACTAGGACTGGAAGTCCCATTTGACCCTGCTATTCCCCTGCTGAGTATCTTCCCCAAAGAATTCAAAGAATCATACCACAGTGATATATGTGCACCCATGTTCATAGCAGCACAATTTGTAATAGCTAAAGCTTGGAAGCAGCCCAAATGCCCATCAACTGGAGACTGGATAAAGAAAATGTGGTTTTTTAATAAAATGGAGTACTACTCAGTCATAAAGAATGAGAAACTAGAGACATTTATAGCTAACTGAATGCACATTGAGGCGATATTCTTAAGTGAAAGAAATGGGACACGTGTAAATATGAAATAGTTTCTGTAGTGTGAGAAACTGAAAGTGTAAATAAGGACTAAATGGTATAATAGATAATGTGAAATAGGAAGAAAAGGGGCAAAGGGGAAGGGGAAGTGGGAGGGGTAGGGTAAAGGAAAGATGGGACTGGAATTAACATGAGAAAATGAAAAAATGGAAACAAAGTCTTCGTAAATAGGAAGGGATGGAGTGGTTGAAGGGAATGCAGGGGCAGAGGGAAAAATAAGAACCAAGAGAGATTATGTAAAGGTGCAAATTTCCTATGATGAATGTCATTATATTGTATACCCAAAATGTACCAATTAAATTAAAGAAAAAAACAATAGTGTAAAGTTAACTAGCTATCTAGAGCTTCATAAGCTCAATAGTTATGCTATTAAAAGTAGAGGTAGGGCCATTCATGATTTTTAAAATTTTTAACTAGTGTATGAGAAATAAAGGAAGAATTCCTTAATTTGATAAATAATATATTTCAGAACATAACTAAAGCAAATATTATTTCTGGTGGTAAAATATTAAAAGCTTTTCTATTTAGTTATCCCTATTATTTCCCCTGTTTGACATTGTACTGGAATCACTAGCATGCACGTGACAGTTGAAGAGTCCATACAAGGAAAATCTGAAGGAAGACCAAGGTAAATAGAACAGAAAAAGAAGTACAAATCTGAAAAAAAAAAAAAAAAAAATGAGTAATCAAGGAGAGTAAGAATAAAATGGAGAGTGTATGAGCATTTGAAGCCAGGTAAAGAAAGTAAGAACAATGGTGTAGTCAGCTGTGCTAAATGTTTCTGGCAAACTACATAGGCAAGATTATGACAAAGTTACCACAATAATGAGAGATTAAGTAATGAATAAGTAATGAAAATAAAATTGATTGAAAAACACATGGGAAATAAGGAATAAAAATAGCCTAAATTTGAATGTGAAGAAAAGAAAAGATTAAGGCAAATGTAAGGTAAAAGGTCTTCTGATTTATCTTGGGGAGATGAGTGCTGTTAAGATGAAAGAGACTTGAACTTGGAAATGAGGCAGGAGAGAAGTTATAGGTACCCCGGAGATAATCTGAGATTTCTGACAGTGTTGAAGGGGATTAACTTTTGAAATGGGGAGGGATCATTTCTTTTCCATGCTAACTGAAATGAAGAAGGAAAGAAGGGCTAGCAGAAGCAAATGTTTTTGTAGTTTTGTTGCTAAGACAGAATTCTGATTGGGTTGCACCAAGTTTCTCTTTGGACTAAAATATCAGATCACTTGTTGTGACTGTGTAAGGATATTTGTGGAGAATGGAGAAAATTTGAAATAGCTGCAGAATATTGCAGAGAATACTGTACTACTAAAATAGTGAAAAGTACGACTGGCCATCTTTACTGAAAGCCCAGTTGAGATGAATGGTCTTTTATAGTAACATCCGTCTGCGACTATAAGTTTTTCTTCCCCTGTGTAGAAAAGGAATTGGCCAAGTATTGGATGTGCAGAAACCTTAATAATCTCAATCTCTCTCTCTCTCTCTCTCTCTCTCTCTCTCTCTCTCTCTCTCTGTAAATAAAGTCACTAGAACACATACATGTTCACTAGTTGTCTATAGTTACCTTAATGATAAACAGCAAAGATAAATGTTTGGTCCTCAACCCGTAACATTTTTACTGTTTCACTCTTTATGCAAAATGTTTGCAAACCCTTACATAGGTCAATGTGGATATAGGTGCAGAAAAGGCAGGCATTTGTGGAGTCATTCGTGGTGGAGGTCTTCCTTGACAAATAGAAAGATGATGGCAAAGATACTGGCCTGTTGAACTTGGAATTCAGGCCAGAGAGGAAAAGACAGAAGGAACTGATATGGGTTTTTGGCTTACTCCATTGTCTTGACAGTAATTAGGGAGAGAAGTCAAAATGATAAGATTGTTGTTGTCATAGATAACTGAAATACAAGATTTCAAAGCTAGAAACAGTTCTAGGTGAGGACACACTGTCTTGGTCCTTGTAGCTGAGATTATAGGGAAATGAGAGGCAGGTTGCTGGCTGCATCATCTATGTTGAGGCTGAAATCCCCTAGAGTGAAGTTGAGAAGACAGTGAGCCAGGTGGTTGTCTTTTCTTAATTTCAAGGATGTACTGTGTTTAAGTCAAATAAATTGCTAACCGTCAATTTTTAAATTGCTAAAAATATGGGGAAAAGAAAGTTTGTTGCTTTGGTTTTATCATTAGAACTTAACTTTCTAAATGTTTTTGATTATCAGACTGCAGATGTATTTAATTTTGAGGAAACAGTTTATAGCCATCATATGTCTCCAGTTGCCACCAAGCACTGTTTAGTAGCAGGTTTGTACATGCATTCTTTTTTTTGTCTTTGAACATGTCAAAAACTTTCTCTTTTTTACATTTAATTAGCTGAATTGAAGATCAAAACTTTTTTTATAAAGAATGACATTATTTATATTTAGTTCAACAAATGTTTGCAAGTCAGGCACTTTGCTAATGGCTAGGATTAAAAGATAAAGCATATTTCTGTTCCCTAAGGAGTTACCTTTAAATCACTAAATTTCCAAAATTTTTCCCAAACAAAATTTGGAAATGTTTCCAATTTGATGCAATAAAACAAGAAAATTATTTCTATCCCTAAGATTGTGATTGAAAAGCTCTTGCAACAAAAATTATTTCTCATGAGAAATAAGCAGTGTTTTTCTGCTATCGTGTCTGCTTACTGTGATCGCATTATTTCTGTGGCTATGCATCAATCTCTTAACAGGGGTCAGCTGCTTTATCTGTTAAGAATTAGTTAACTTGTCTTGGAGGTCCATTCAGTCTGTGTCCAGATTTTTTGTGACTCTATTACTGTACTTAAAACTAGAAGTGTATCATTAACTTGGAAATCTAAGCTATTAAAATAAAATGATTTAAGGTGATAAAATGTCATAGAACTATAATACATATTTAATTTCCCATATAAATACCCTGGTTTTGACATTATAGCATGGACCCTTGACTTACAAACTTGATCTGTTCCAAGAGCTGGTTGTAACCAAGTCAGAACAGCTGAGATCTGGATGTTTACCTGGGTACACGCTATAGATAACAAGAGGCAGATGAATCTTCCATTAACCTAATTAACCTAAGTTGTTCATATGTCAGGCCAGTCGCCCCTTGAGGGTTCAGTGTACTTCATTTACCTAATATAGGATCATTAGGAGAACTCAAGTGAAGGTTCCCTGGACCTCTCTCTACTAGCTTTGTAACTTCTTGCAAATCTCTATTTCAAAATTTTTAAAAATGCAATAATAGACTTCTCTTCCTACTAAAGTGTAATTTCAATTAAAATAATTTTGGGGGGGGTACTGGGGATCCAACTCAGGACCTTGCACTTGTGAGCCAGGCACAGTGCCACTGAGCCAAATCCCCAGCCCAAAATAATTTTTCTAGTTGTAAGCATTAATGACTATTTAAAATGTATTTTTTGGCATATAGTTTTTTATTTCTGAGTGCATGCAGTGAAATGTCATGATTTCTAAGTGGTATGTTTGTTTCCTTTTGCTGATGACTAAAATTGTATTAAACCACTTTTTTGGTTTTGTTTTTTCAGTTGGTACTAGAGGACCCAAAGTACAACTTTGTGACTTAAAATCTGGATCCTGTTCGCACATTCTACAGGGTATTTTTTTTAATTGAAACAACTACTACTTTGAGTAAACCAATCAATAGAAAGAATCATTACTAACAATGTATTCTTTGTAAGTGACATGACTAATGTATTTTGTGCTAGTTGTTAAAAGTCAACAGGGAAAGAAAGATTCTTCTGTGCATTATTCTTACAAAATTGGACTATTGAGGGGACATTTATATGAACAATGGCTGTAGGGGAAGTTCAAAAGAAATGAAAAATAGATCTAACTCAAAACCTTGTTTTATCTCAACCTTTAAAAGAACAAACTACTACGGAAACTTATATCAGTACATTTGGCCCTAAACATTGTTTAATATTGTTCTGATGTTCTTAATATTTAAGTGCATTTTTTTCTCAGTATAAATATTTCAGAAAACAATGTTGAAATTCTTTGGAAAAGATATGCTAATTTAAATTATTTTTGCTACCTTTTATTCAGTATTAAATCATTTAATTCTGAACAATGAAAACATTAAATATAATTCAGAAATACACATTATTATTCATCTCTATGAAACGTAAATTATCAAGAAAACTTGGTGAGATGGATACTATTTTTAATATTATTATGAATTTCTATTGGTATAATCTAGGTAGATAAAAATTCCTGATTTGAATATTTTGGTTAGGTAAAGCTGAATTAAAATGTTGAAATCATTTATCCTATGAACTTGCCACCTGTACTTTCTAGAAAAAGAAATTACTATATACAAATGGTTTTTTATAATCAACAATTCTTTTTTCTGTTATAACCTTATGAAAAATTGGAAAATATTTTTATTTCTTTAAGCTGTTTATTTTATATGTTATTCCAATGAGTTTATATTATAGAAACATAGGCTAACATCTAAATTGTTCAAAAAGCACTCACTTGACCTTTCCAAACAAAACCAGTCCTCATATACCATGTGGTAAAAATATCCCCACAGACTTCACATTAGGATTTGAAAAGAAATTATTATAAACATGACAAAAATGATGAACATATCTAATCACTTTATACTTTCTTCATAACTAGGAAATGTTTCTGAAACTTTTATCTTTTGATTTTTCAAGTGTTTTATTGAGAATTTTCACACAGTTGTATTTGCAGGTCACAAACAAGAAATATTGGCAGTTTCCTGGTCACCACGATATGATCATATCTTGGCAACTGCCAGGTAAAATGTAGCTTATTTGGTTTTTAAATTAATACTAGTAATTAATAAACATTTTAAAAGACTACATTTTAAACATGCATATTAATTCATATCATCAAAAGAAATCTTCACATTATAATCCTAATACTATCCATCTTAAAGATTTTCACCTTTAGAATAATAAGAAAACATGAGACTATGTAATAATGCAAATCAACTAGGACTACTAGTAAGTCATTGTGTTATGTCAATTTTGGACACAAAGGATAGCACTGTGTTGATTTTAAAAGTTATTTTTCTATTCCTTTTCTTTAAACCAGAATTATTTTGAATCTGATAGAAAATATTCATCTATTCATTGATTTCAATTTATTGATATTTACTGGCTGCTTACCTTGTGCCAACCTTTGTACTAGAGTCACAGAGATAACCAAACTTTGGGAAGCTACCAATTTAATGAGGGAAAAATCAGTGATGAGAGGGCATCCTGAAAAATACATTTTTGGTAGGTGTAATATAGGAAAGGAAAGAAGTATCAAAGTTTGGGGAAATTGTTTGTTGGAGGGAAGTGTATTGCATATTTATTTGCAGAGAAGAAAGTACCAGTAGAGAAAAATAGGTGAAGATAAGAAATAGAGGGAATGATTGATGCTGTATCCCACCAAATAGACAGGAGGGGAGAGGTATTTAGGTCTAGACAGAGGGTTGACACTGAGTTGACACAGGAAGGGTACTGTGAGACTAAATAAAAGGAGGAAAGGGTAGGATTGAATCCAGTTAATTTTGTTGCTTTGTCAGAGAAGTTCAAGAAATGCAAACTTGATGACCTCAGTTGTTTTTTAATTGAGTAAGACTTGATACTGTCCGTGGAAATATGGAAGTGAAGATGCAATTTTAGGGGAAGGTAATAAAGATCTACAATAACAGATTGAACCAGAGAAGAAGCTGAGTAGGGACACATAGGATTGCTGGAGAGTTGTGCTCAATTGAATATGTAAACTGCAGCTCTACTAAGCCACAGAAAACAAAACATCAGATTACATAGACGTAACAATTTTCAATTTAAGGAGACTATGTAATACCTATGCCTAAAAATTGTTGAAGTCATGAGTATAAGGAAAGAAATAAATCACAAAACAGCCTGTAGAAGGGACCTAATGAGACAAAAATATGCATGTCAGAGTAAGAAAATTAAAAAACAAGAAACAGGAAGTAATAGCCAAAGATTGTGGTATAATTTTGTGTGTGTGTGCTGGAGATTGAATCCAGGGATTCATACACTTTTACCATGCACTCCACCACTGAGCTGCATCCCCAATTGCTATTTTAAGATAAGCATTTTAATAAAGATTTGTGTCTGGATTTTTTTAAGGTGCCACCCCTCCTCACAGGTTAGACCCCAAAAGCTTCTGTTAATAGTTTGCAGAATGTGATGTTGAAACATGATTTCTGAAGTAGTAAGGTCTAGAATCTAGCAATAAAAAGGTTGGCTAGAGAGGTATGAAGGTGAGGAGCTAGGTGGTGGTTGTGGGTTCATGCTTGGGTGGATTTATATTATACTTTGTGCTTCACTTGGTTTTCCCTAGATCAGAGGGGAGCTGAGAGGCATTCACTTCTTAGAATTCCTTCAGGAATTTGAATCAGGACTAAAATGGACCTAGTAACCAATATTAACAGTTGGATATGTCCAAATCTAAGCTGTTTCAGAAGAGGTTTAAATTCTCACTCTTCCCATTGTAGACATTTTCTTCAGCCAAAAACAAAAGAAAACCAACCCGAGAATGGGACATATTAGCTTTCTGCTGACTATTCCCATTGCTAGCTTTGATGGTGGTCTGTAAAAAGAATCATGATTATAGCAGTGAATAAGCTGTGTGTGTGTGTAATGAAAAATGGGCTCATAAAATGTAATATAAAGCCCTCTCATTAAAATAACATGAAAAACTCAATGAGTTAGAATACTGTAGAGGTCTTTGTAAAGACATGATACCATGACTTGAACTGATTAAGGGCATATGGACTTTCTGGGCATTGTTTTCTTTAGGAATAGCTTAGAAATTGATGTGTGATCATGGATTTATTTGCCTTTCTTTTTGCTTACTTGAAAGCAGATGAACATAAATGTATAATTTCTAGTAGACATTAAATGTAGTTCTGATTTAACTGGCAAAGAATGACTTGAGTACAAGAAACTGAATGAAAATATATTATCTTCATTTGCACCTTGCTTGGTTTTTTTATATGAAAAGTTAAAATACCAAGCTCATGCCAAAGAGATTTTTTTTTTAATTTGGCAGTGCTGGGGATTGAACTCAGGGCTTCTTGTATGATAAGTTTTCCCACTGAGCTATATCCCCAACCCAAAAAGATTATTAAAGTGAAATTAGTTAACTGATTGTCTAAACAGCATTTGAATAATAACAATAGAAATGATATAGTAACAAATTTGCCAGAACCTTTGGGGAAAAGATGCTCATGTAATTAAAAACAACATAAAGAGCAACACAATTTTGTCCTTGTGATTTAAAAACAAAAGGTTATCATTCCTTCATGTTTTTTCACACTTTTATGCAGTTGTTGAGTGTTGAATATTTGCTGAAAAGGCAAAATAAAACAACCCAATTGTATGAATACAGTGGTGCTAATATAATGGAATCTCTGTGTGCCATAATATTAGAAGAGTGGGTGAGGGGTACAATTGCTATCCTAGCAACATATTGACAGTGTAACATTTATTTCTTCTCAGTGCTGACAGTAGAGTAAAATTATGGGATGTGAGGAGAGCATCAGGATGTTTGATTACTCTTGATCAAAATAATGGAGAAAAGTCACAAGCTGCTGAATCAGGTAATGAAGATTATATAAATATGATACACAACAATGATAGTATTTTTATGTTGAGGTTTTTAAATTGAAGCCAAACAGTAAACATATATTTCAATCCCCAGTACTGGCAAAAAAAAAAAAAGAAAAAGAATCTATACCTCTCATTACCTTGTAAGGGCCAGGGATATAGTTCAGTGGTACCGTGCCTGCCTGACAAACACAAGGTCCTGAGATAGATCCCTGGTTCTGCAATAATAATAAGAAGAAGAAGAAGTGTATATTGACAAATTATGAACGTTAGGGATTTTTTAAGGCATGTTTTAGTCACTTTCCTGTCACTGATACAAAATACTTGACACATACCACTGAAAGGAGAAGAGGTTTATTTTGGCTCACAGTTTCAGTGGCTACAGTCCATGCCTAGGTGGCTACAAGGGATAAATGGCATGGCAGAAAGCAGTTCACCATATAGAAGCCAGAAAGCAGAGCTACAAGGCAAGATCCCTAGATGAAAATACACCCTCCCAAGTCACACCCCTAGTGACCCACCCCTTCTGGCCAGGTTCTACCTCTGAACGTGAGACTTATGGAGGATATTTTAGATCTAAACCCTAACAGGCATATAGCATGAATTACTTTAACTAAATTCTGCTGTGTTTCTCCAAGATACAAGTAACAGGTGAAGAAAGGAGAAGGAGTGGGGGGTGAAGGGGATGTAAAAAGTATAAGATATGTTATGTATAATGAATGTAATCATTTTGTACTGCAAACATATACTAATAAAGATAAATTTTTTAAAAAGTATAGCAGTTTCTTTTGCCTCCAAATTTTCAAAGAGAAACTTTTCTGGATTAACTTGCTTTACTGATTTTTTCCCCCAGTGAGGTTAACCATACAAATTCAATGCCAAATAGGAAGCCCCAATAAATTACAGAAATAGTTAACAGTATTGCCATTGTGTCAGCATAAAAATGGCAATTCATGAGTGAGCTGCAATCCTTGTAACAATGTGTCTCAATTACATTTTATAATAGAATTTAATTCCTGAGTAGAAAATTTCACTTAGATCTAATTGCGGACTAGAAATATATTAGGATGAGCTACATAAAACATGATTTTTTTTGAAGTTCTTTTTAAATTAATCAGGCTATTAGGAATTATGCTTTCTCAAGATTTCTCACTTTGAAAGGAATATAAATTTTGATCGAAGGTGGAACGGTTTTCCTTTTTCTGCTAAACTCTTCAGCGATGGAAAACACTAGTATTATTAATTTGTAATAGTTCATGTAGAAATGGAAAGAATTTATAAGGGATAAAAGATGTTTAAAGTTTTAGTGTTAAGTTATGCATTTAATTGAATTTGATAGCACAGCTTACTTGCTGAAAAATTGTATTTGGCAAGGTCTTTTCCTGTTGGTTTTCCTGTTTTCTTCCATTTTTATGATTCTGATTTATATAGTTTCTCAAATTCAAATAATCTGAAAGTTTGGTTAATTTAAAATATAACCATCTTGTACTTTTAAATAACTTAATAAGTTAGTTGTCCCCTAATAAATTAATATATCATTTAGCATTAAATATTTGCTGAATATAGGGAAAGATAAACTGAACTGTATTTTTCTTTGCAGCAAACACTGCTCATAATGGGAAAGTTAATGGCTTATGTTTTACAAGCGATGGGCTTCACCTCCTAACTGTTGGTACAGATAATCGAATGAGGCTCTGGAATAGTTCCAGTGGAGAAAATACACTAGTAAGAGATTTTCGTGTACTTTTTTGGACATATAGTAAAAAAAGGATCTGTGACATGTTTCTCTGTGGATTTAACTCCATTTATTGCCTTTAAATCATAGCTGTTTTCTTAAAAATACCTATTTTCTCACTAGGTCAGAACAACCCACCCCAGCTACATTCCTTCCACTTAGTGGAGAAGCATTGTTTACTGTGGCACTGATCCTAATGGTAGCATGCCATATTGCTCAGGTATTTGGGGAAAGAATAAAAAATGAAGAACTATTGATATAAATAAAAGTTACAAAGTTAATTCTATAGTATAAATGACTTATAAACAAAACCACAAATGAATATTAGATTAGCAAAATATAGCATTTTATTTAATACTGAAATAAGCCTATTTTAAAATTGTTAGCTTTTTGTTTTTATTTATTTATTTGCAGTGCTGGGGATTGAACCCAGGGCCTCAAGCACTCTGGGCAAGCACTCTACTACTGAGCTACACCTTCAGTCCCAAAGTGCTAGACTCTCTCAGTGGCAGATAATTTCTAGTTACTTATTTATGTGTGTTATAGTCCTTACCAGGTATACATATGGTTTAGCAACTTTCTGAATAAGCTAACAAAAGTTTATAATTTGATGATAAAAATAGCTATTATTTATTGAAAGCTTACATGAAGATACAATACTGATAATAATTACCATATAATATATATTCTAGAACATACCTTGTCAACACTGTGGTGGTAATTTCTGTTATAATACTCATTTTACACAAGAGGAAAACAAGATGTAAAATGCTTATGTAACTTGCCTAAGTTTATACAACTAGAAAGCAACAGAGTTTGATCCTAGATTCCATCCTTACTGCAACATTGATTATACCCAGACTCCCTTAAAGTGTGTTTGTAGGTATTAATATTAATCATATTCCCTTCTCTATTCATCCTTTGTAGCCAGTAACTCTCTTTAAAATATCCTAGGTCTCACTTTGATTTTTAATACTAATACAAAATTGTTTATATCTGCGTTATTTCAGAGTTTTGTGATCCTGCATACTTTTTTTCCTATGTTAGGGATGGAATCCATGGACTCACACCTGTTAGACAGATGCTCCACCACTGAGCTATGCCCTCAGTGGACACAACCCTCAACATCATCTTTTTGAGACCACTCTCTATTATGTCTCCGGCTACAAACCCAGGCATTGTGACACATAGTTTAGTGTCTTTCATTCATTATATTGTACCATACCCCTGAAGGGGTCACATGGTCCACCTCCCCTCATTTTTTAAAGTAAATGTTTATTGAGTACTTACTTATTTTCCGGAAGCATGACATAGCTGTGGACAAAACACAGAAAAGGCTTATTCTCAGGAATCTTCTCTTCCAAGGAGAGGATAAAAGGCATCAATTAATCAGTAGATGAATAGAAAGATAAATTATGTTAGATAGGATGAGCCCTATGAAGATAAGCAAAGCAAAGAAAGGAGCATAGCAAACACTGGGAAGTTGGAGTTGCTATGTTTCATAGGGTAGTCAGGGTAGGCCTCACTGAGAAAGTGACCAAAAAAATGAGGACTCATCAGTTATTTGGGAGGGAGTGCATTCTAGGTAGAGGAAGGGAAAAGTACAGATTAGTGGTACCATGCATGGGATACCCAAGGAACAGGTGGGAGGCTCTTGCATTGGAATAGAGAGAGTAACAGGGTATAAAGAACAGAAAGAACAGGCTGCCAGAGCACATAGGCCCTGAAGCCCTGTGTAAAGGCTTAAGCATTTCTCTGGGTAAGATGGAAAACCACTAAAGACATTGGAGTGGAAAAATAGCCCTGCATGTGTCAAGGTTTAATATAATAAATATAAATAAACAGTACTGAATATATATAAATTTTTAACAGGGTTTTGTTCCCTTTTTTTTTTTGCCTTCTTAAGGGTAAAACATGCCCTAAGGGTTTTTGCCAGTAAGTCCATAGCTCAAATAGTATATTTAAAATGGATAATACAGTTTTCAATGAACTTGATCAAAGTAAAAGCCATTCATGCTGTGGTAGCCCGGAAACCTACCTACAAAAGACAGTTAGAGGAAAGATTGAGGCAATGCCCAAAAATGATTACTCTGAGAGGAAACATGCTATCTTTACATTTTTAAAGAGTTGTCAGAACAAGAAACAAATTCTAGTCCTGCCGAATTCCAGTTCCCCTTTAGTAATTGAGGATTTTAATCAATGTTTAGACTTTTCATGCCCTTATTTGTAAATTGGGACTATTGTGTACCAAGGAAGTAATTATAACAGTGAAATAGAAGTATGCCAAAAGTAGTATTGTACCTGCTAATTGTAAGGCATATATCACAAATGGTAAACTATTTTTATAGTATATTTTGCCTTATTAGCAGTACCTTTATTAGTTTGAAAACAGGTAGTAAGAACCTACTTCTAGTATATGTATAATCCTAAATTGTATACAAATACTATTAGTCTATATATTAAATTTAGTAAAGCTTAATTCTTTATGTTTTGGATAAAAAATGAAATAGAAACTTTCATATTTTCTCTCACATCTTATCTTAATGGATCATGTTGCAAATTCTCTGTGGTTTGTGAGCTACACTCTGGAGACCATTGCTGTAAGAGTATATAACAAGTACCGGCCAGGAAAGTTCAGAAAGTACCAGCTTTTAGTACAAGAAAAGAAAAAATAGTCACAGTAGGCCTTCTGATTTTACTGTTTTAGTTACTTGCACTATCATCTTGTGAGTGATAAAGTCCCGAAACTGGGAGCCTATTATTCATGCCTGTCATTTATGAAGCTATTAAAACAAGCACAAATCTTACTAATTCCTCGTTTTTTTCATGTCTGGCTTTCCGGCCTCACAGCTGGGTTCACCTCTCTATTTACTTACTCTACTATCCTTCTAACTATCCTAAATGTGTCTCCCCGTGGAACTCATTGATTCCTCTATGGTTTCAGATCACTAAAACTGAATGCTTTTGCCTGTTGTATAACAGGCCTTCATAAATTGTGCCTTCTACCTCACCAGCTTTATTCCCTGCCCCTCTTCCATGTGTCCCTGTCTTAGCCATACTGAACTCCAAGGAGGTCTTTAACTATACCATGCTCCCTTGTTCTTTCATTCTGCTGCACGGACTGCTGCCTTTGCTTTAAAATACTCTTCTCAGCTTTCAAGATTCATCTCAGGCACAACCTCTCGTTAACTCTTCTAATCTAGCTAAGATGCTCGCAGAACACCCTGTACTTAACCTATATAATGTAATCTAGATTCAAATTGATTTCCATCATTTTACTATCTAAGAGACCTTGATCAAATTGCTTAGCCTTTCTGAATGTTATGCTGCCTATCTAATAGTATTGATTTGAGGAAACACAGTATTACATTATCTGGTACAGCAAATGTTGATATTCAATAAATATTATCTGGAAAAGGTTATTATTATGCTGATACCTATTTGACAATAAAATAAATTGCCTTGTGATGGAATCTGTGTCGCTTTAGGTTTTTACCTAGTGATTTAAATGTACATCTTTCTGAGGCAACAAAAGAGACTATGAGATAGTGAGTTGGATTTGTCATTATTCTATACCAAATCTAAAAAAAATCTTCATTGCCTATCAAAAACTTTTCAAAGCTTGACTTAAATACCACGTTTAAGGCATCATGGCCAAAAGTAGTCTGCTCTTTAGGCTACTTTTACATACCCACCAGTAGTGTATAAGAGTTCTATTTTCTCTGCATCGTGTGTGTGTGTGTGTGTGTGTGTGTGTGTGTGTGTTTGATAATAGCCATTCTGGTCTGGTTGGGGTAAAATGGAATCTCAGTGTGGCTTTTTGGTTTTTTTTTTAATTCATTAAGTTTATTGGCACATACATATATGATACAATATGATGACATTCATCATTAGGAATTTGTACCTGTACGTGGTATATCTTTTTCCCCATTCCCCTGCCCTCCTGTCAACCCCTCTGCCCCTCCCTATTTACAAAGACTGTTGTTTCCTTTTCTTATATTTTTTCCATTCCCTTTTTTTGTCCCCTACCTGCTCTACTTCCCTTCCCCCCTTCCCCTTTGGACCTTTTCTTCCTATTTCACATTATCTATTATACATTTTGGTCCTCATTTACACTTTCAGTTTCTCACACCAGAGAAACTTCAGTATTTACACATGTGTGTCCTATTTATTTCACTTAAGAGTATCACCTCAAGATGCATCCATTTTCAATGTGGTTTTGATTTCCATTCTGAAAGCTGAAGATAGTGAGCATTTTTTCACTTTTTTGGGGGGTGCTATTTGTCTTTTAGAGAAGTGTCTGTTGATATTGTTTGCTCATTTTGATTGAATTACCCATTCTTTTGATATTAAGATTTTTGAATTCTCTATATATTCTGGATACCACCCTCTGTCAGATGAACATCTGGCAGAGATTTTCTCCTACTCTACAAATTATCTGTTTACTCTGTTGATTGTTTTCTTTGCTGTGCAAAAGCTTTTTAATTTGATATAATCCCATTTATCAATCCTTGCTTTTATTTCCTGGGCTACTGGAATCCTATTTAGAAAATCATTGCCTTTTCCAATATCTTTTAAAGTTTCACCAGTGTTTTCCTGTAATAGTTTCAAAGTTTGGGGATTTCTATCAAGGTTTTTTTGTCCATTTTGAATTGATTTTTTTATCAGGTGAGAGTTACGGGTGCAGTTTTGGTCTTTTATGTGTGGGTGTCCAGTTTTTCCATCACCACTGTTAAAGATGCTGTCTTTCCTCTTACATAAATTTTTGGCACCTTTGTCAAGAATCAGATGGCTGTAGATGTGTGAGTTTATTTCTGGGTCCTAAATTATATTACATCAGTCTATGTGTCTGCTTTTATGCCAGTGCCAGCACAGGCTACTTTTTATGGTGAGCATTTATATTTATAAAATGGTGACATATTAAGCACTTAGTAAATGGTAGAGCTCTTCCTTTCTTAATCTTTTATTTGAACTTCATTTGAGTCCACAGGTGATTTGATCATGGTAGTGATTTGGAAAGATTAATATGACATTAAATGACAGGATGAATTGGAGAAGGAAAGCCTTAAGGTTAAAGTTAGTAAGCTAGTTCTGTATTTAAACCTGTTCAACACATTCCATGTGCATTTGGGAAGGAATAGTATAGTGGATAGAATATAATTTTGCAGATAGATGATAAACAAATGTGAATAAGGCCATAACAGTCTAGCAGTTTATAATTTTTCCAGCAGGAACAGAGGATTGCTAGTTCAGAAGTATTTTGTGCTTTGTCTCCATTCCCTCCATATCATTCTACAAATTATTATACATGTAGAATCAACAAATACAAGTGAGGGAATGCTAAATTTTAAAATGTGTAGGAATTAATAAATTTGAAGACTTAATGACTATATCCCAGGTGCTCTCAGATGCATTATTTCACTTGCTTTTTCACAATAACTCTATGATAAGTAACATTATTTCCATTTAACAAATTAGGAGAATGAGACTCAAAGGTAAAATCATTACTTATACTGGACCATAGTAGCTATATCACTGCTACTATGGAGTACTTAAATGCTTGCACTCATTTCTGTTAAATGTTAAAGGGTAGGTAAGCCAAGTACAATATCCACAGTTTATCACATATATCCATTTGGGCCTCAATGTTTCTATTTGTATATATGCCCACACATACTTCCACCCAACCTTTAAAAAAGAGAGAAAGGCAAACACCATTTAAAGTCTAATATTAGCCACAGAGGAAAATTTTGGTGATCTACATAGCCATAATTCCCAAATGATTAATTATTGGTTTTAATTATCAGCAAGAAGTAAACCTGTCAATTTCTTTAATTCAAAACTTCTCAGACTTTGATACACATACAGATTGCCTGGGGATTTTGTAAAAATAAATACTCTCCTTCAGTAATATTGGGGAGAGGCCTGGAAGTCTGCATGTCTGACTGCTCTGGCGATGCTTGTCATCTGAGTTTACAGACTTCCCGTTTTATGTACAAATGCAGAATTTTAATTTTATCACATTTACATAATTATTTACATAAATTTGAAATTATAGTACACATACTCTATGTTCTGTGCTTTTTTTATACTTAGCCTTTATCCTTATTTCCTGCAAAGTTTTCATATGATTTCTATGAAACATAAAGTTAATGTAACATGAGGAACACAGATCCATTCTCAGTTGCTTTGCCTTTATAATAGATAATGCTACCTTTGTAGAGCATTTCTCAGGGCATATTACTTTATGCTGTTTAATTATTTCCTGAAGACGAGCTTTGGGGAACAATTACTAAGTCTAGGGATAAGATCCCCTTTGTGGTTCAATGAGTAGTGTTGCAAGATAACAAAGAGTTCTTGAGATGGGCCATGGTAATGATTGCACAACAGTGTGAATGTTCCAACTGCCACTGAACTATACTCCTAAAAATGGTTAAGATGGAAAATTTTATGGGTTTTTGCCACAATTAAATTTTTTAATGAAAAGAGTAAGAGGTTATTTATAAGGCACTCCCTCCCACAAAAGAATATCTTTGCGTTTGTTGCATAATAAATGGGAAATAGCTAAAATACAATGCTACAAACATGTTTACCTCACTTTTGCCAATATTGAACATCTTATGTTTATTAAAATTTTGTCAAACCAGGGATCGAGGCTTAGTGATAGAGTACCTACTTGGTTTCAGTTCCCAGCACCCCTTAAAAGAATTTTTCTGCCAGTCTAAAATGATTCTTTAAGATTGCCTTAGTTTACATTTTTATTTCTTTTTTTTTTTTTTGGTTCCGGGGATTGAACTCGGATCCTTGCGCCTCAGCAGGCGGCAAAACCACTGAGCTAAATCCCTGGCCCAACATTTTTATTTCTTTTAAGATTAACATATGAACATTTGTCCTTGTGGTTTTCCCACTGTATTTCCTCTTATATGAAATGCACACTCATGTCATTGGCCCTTGTTTGTGTTAAGATATTGAACATTTTGTTTAAATTTAATTCCCTTTCTATAGAAGATTATAATATTTGAAGAAAGTGTTTCTTTCAGTCTGTCTTTTTAATCTAGATTTAAGAAATTAGTAATTTTATTATTTTAATCCCATAGGTAAACTATGGAAAAGTTTGTAACAACAGTAAAAAAGGATTGAAATTCACTGTTTCCTGTGGCTGCAGTTCAGAATTTGTTTTTGTCCCATATGGTAGCACCATTGCTGTTTATACAGTTTACTCAGGAGAACAGATAACTATGCTTAAGGGACATTATAAAAGTGTTGACTGCTGTGTATTTCAGTCAAATTTCCAGGTAAGAATGATACTTAAGGGGATTTAAAATGTTTAAGTAGCTAGCTTGCTAGATTGGTTGTGTATAAAAGAGTAAATTTTCATTTCACTCTGCAGGGTTATATTTCTAATGCATATTTAACTGAAATTTATTTAACAGAGAATGCTATAGCCTTGATTTTAGGTAACATAAGATGTCTGTATGACTCAAGAAAATACTGTACAACTGGGATAAATTTTCTGTCTTTTGTGTATGGGCTCCATTTAGCCATTGAAAATCTCTGATGAAATGAAATATTTTCTTGGAGTCTCTTGGGTAAAAAAATTAAATATCAATATTTAATCTCAATGTAGTATATCGTAGTTTATGTATATGTGGATATGTCTGGGATTTTATTTCTTCCCTTTTTCTGCCAGTGGCTGATAAAAGTATGACACTGTATTAATGCAACTCATGCATTCCTGTGGCTTTTGTTTGTTTAATATTTTCATATTACTAATAGAACAGGCACTTTTTATAATAATTTCTTATTTTTTACTGGTACATGTTTGTAGTATATAATGGTTACGCTCATCATGGGGAGTTGGTATATATACATGACATTTCTTAATTCCTTTTTTAACCCCCTCCTCCCCACCCCCTACATCTCTTGGACCCCTTCTGCTGTGTGTGTGTGTGTGTGTGTGTGTGTGTGTGTGTGTAAGTATATATATTATTTTATACATGTTTGTAGTACATGATAATCACATCCTAGTAAGTACTTGGTGCATGTACACAGCACTTCATGACACCCTCCCCTTTTCATCTCATTTCCCTCTCCCCTCTCTGTCTCTTAGTTTTGGAACAGGTTTGGTTTTGTTGGTTTTTTTTGGAAGAACATTTGCACATATTACCTCGTGTACTCCTTTAAGTGAGTCTAATATAGCAAGATAGTTGTTATTTCCTCTGTTTTGTAGGTAAGGAGGATGAAGTTTATGAAAGTTAGATACTGACAGAGTGAAAATTATGGATTATTAGAGCTTTACTAGGGACTTTATCACCTGGGGAAACTCCTGTTCACTCATTCATTAATATCAGTTACCTAATTTGTGCGAGACACTGTGCTATAAGATATATAGGCCCGATTTTTTAGCCAGTATATAATAGCATGACAATATTATTAAAATATTCAGTTACTTAAGTATCCTACTGACTCCTAAGTAACTATTGCACCGATCTTCCCCAAGTGACCTCCAGCCCCAGCCCCTTTCCTGAAATTCTAGTATCTCTTCTGATTAGTCAGTGTCCTGGTGTACTAGTTGTTAAATATTTTTAGTGTTGTTTCTGAGAAAGGAACACTAAAGCTCAGGAGAGGTTATATGACTTGCCCCAAACCTACAATAGTTATTGACAAAACATGATTCTATATTCAAAGAAATTCTTAGGATACTATCCCTCCCTTAAAGATACACCCAAAAATTTAACCAAGATATCCTGGCTAAAATTATTGCTCTCTACTAAATCAGAGCTTCCTTGTATCTGTCCCTAAAATGGACTAAAAATCTGGCAAGATATTGATTCCTCTCTGTCCTTGGAATAGCTGGGACAGCCCGAAACCAGGGGCCACTTGCCTCCTGTGAAATATCATTTCTGTATGTGCTATGAACTCAAAGAGTTCACTACATCAGAAAGCTCCAGTTCTTATTTAACATACTATGATTCTGAAAATAATTATAAATCTCAAAAGTAAGACAGTAGTACTTTTGCATCCATTTAGTAAAAGAATACCTTTGCAAGTTACATATTGTACAAAATTCACTCTCAAAATAAAATTATAGTAATTCCATCATAAATATAAAAATCTGATATGAAAATGATAGTAATAGATTATAACCTTTTGACTTAAATAGAAATCAGTGAAACTATGCTGGTATAAATAAATTAATTAATGAGTTAAAAATTTGTTGAGGAACTGGATACTTATATAGCCTCAGACTACTACCATATAAAATAGCTACAAAGATTAATTTTACCTTGAAGAACCCTGGCGTATATTACCTTAACCAAATGATTAATGTCCCATTCATGAGACATCACTCTATCATTGCTTGAAAGCTCACATCATCCAGTTTTAATCATGAAGAAACATGAGATAAGCCAAATTTGAAGGACATTTACTAAATAACTAGTGTGTATTTTTAAAATTGCCAAGGACAAGAAAGTCAAAGAGACCAAAGAACTGTTCCCAAATGAAAACATGAGGAAGGATAACTATAATACTACATGTGATTTTTAACTGGACCCATTTGCTATAAAGGACATTATTTGAACCATTGGGTAAATCTTGAATGAGGTTTAAGAATTAGATGGTAGTGGCTAGATGTTATGGTGCACACCTATTAATCTCAGCTACTAGAGAGGCTAAACAGGAGAATCATAAGTTCTTAGCCAACCTGAGCAATTTAGTGAATAAAATCTCAGAAAAAAAAATTTTAAAGAGCCAGAGATGTTACTCAATGGTAGAGTGCTTGTTGCTTGCCTAGAACGTACAAGACCCTGGGTTCAACTCCCAGTAGCACAAAGCAAGCGAAAGAAAGAAAGAGAGAGAGAAGAAGGGAGAGAGTAGTAATATATCAATAGGAATCTGATTTTTTTGTTTGTTTTGAGACAGGGTCTCAAGGCTGAGCTTGAACTGACTGTGTACCCCAGGCTGGCCAATCCTCCTGCCTCAGCCTCTTGAGTGCTGGAATTATAGGTGTGTGCCACCGCCCTGGGGTTGATTTTATTTCATATATGAATCTGTCCTTGTTTGCAAGTAACATACAGTGACATAATCAAGGGCAGTAGGACTTCATGTTACTACTTGCTTTTGGTTCTGAAGAATAAAAAATGTCTTTGTACTCTGCTTGTAACTTAAATTTTGAGACTTTTTTTTTAAAGTCTACTTCCCCATATGAACTCCTACATCTATCTCCAAAACTTCAAGGTTCAATTCAAACCCCTCCAAGTGTTCGTTGTTAACCGTCCTAACTTAAGTGCTGCCTCTTCCAAGCTCTTTCCTGAACATCTGAGGAATATCAGCTGTCTCTACTCAGTGTGTCAGTACTTATAAATTGCTAGATAAACTTATTAACCAGATTGTCTTGGATATATATCTTACCTTCACAGGAAAACTAAATTGCTCAGGAACACTAAACATCTGAACATATCTTTGCATTATTCACAATTAGTGTAACCATATATCCTAGATTTTTTGTTTTATTTTGGAAATTTGATAAATATTTAATTTTATACATCTGTCCTATAAAAAAACTTCATAATCTTTTTCTTTACCCAAAACCTTCACTGAAGTAAAAAATACTAATTATAGTCTGTTTCAAATAGTTTTTGAGATATACAATAATAAAAATGAATAATTGCTTTCTAAAGTAGGCAAGAATGCCTATTAAAAATGTTTGTGTAGAAATACAGAAATGTATTTTTGAGAGGAAGAAAAGCCACTTAGTCATCTAGGGTTTTATAATCACAACTTTTGAGTATGTGTGTGTGTGTGTGTGTGTGTGTGTGTGTTACAGGGGATTTAACCCAGGGCTTTTGCACTCAGTACATCCCCAGTCTTTTTAATTCATTTTGTGTTTTGAGACATAGACTCACTGAGTTAACAAGGCTGTCCTCAAACATTCCATCCTGCTGCCTAAGGCTCCCGAGTTTCTGGGATTACAGCCATGTACCCTCATGCCTGGCCACTTAACATTTTGTTGCCCTTTTAGCCCTTTCTCTCTTTTAGCCTTTTATTATTATCAACCTACTGTTTCATATCTTGTTTTCCCTTTTAACATTTTGAGTATTTTGTTTATAACCTGTTCTTTTCACTTGAGATTCTAAGTATTTCCAAAGTCATTAAATGTTCTTCAAAAGCAGTTTTAATGGCTACATAATATTCCATAATGTGAATACAGTGTTAATTTATGAATAATCATTTCTCTATTCTTTGACAATTGTTTCATTTTATATGATAAATTTAATATGGGTAATATAAAATTTGAATTTTGTGTGTGATTTTGGCATAACTTCTTAGGAATGTGTATAAAAATTTGGCTATACACTGAGATTCTATTCTTGAAAAAGTTATAGTAATTTATACCCTCTGTATGTGAGAGTGTCTATTTTAACCACCTCATAAGAATGTTTTCAATAATAGTCGATATAATGTTTCTTCAGTTTTGCTGGAAAGGGAGATGAGCATTGTTCAGCCAAGAGCAAACAGCATGTCTGTATGAAAGACATGGCAGAGTGTGCCTGAGCCCACACTTCCTTTTGTAAAGGAAACTCAGCCAGTAGAGTATGAGTCTTTGCTGTCTTGTGCTGAATAGCAGCCAGTTAGTTAGGCAGCAGCAAGCTAAATAAAACTGTTTATTAAGTTTTAGCTGTTTTGGAGGAAACAGGACTTCTTGTTTGAAGTTTGTCTCTAAACCTCCCTTATTGACAGAAATGCAGTCTTTATTCTATCTCCCCCCAACACACCTTTCTCTATTCTGACATTTGAACTATATGGATACACCGCTTGGTAAAACTGCTAGGATATTAAACATTTTTGTAAAATTTTCACACCATTAGTAAGCAAAGCTCTTACTATACCTTTAAAAACTAGGAAAATAAAAAACTTTCAGCCCACTTTTTTAGGCAGTAGAAATAGAATTAATCTAATTAATTTAACCTAAGAATCATTTAAAAAATTGATATAGTTCATTTGAGATTGCTACCAACTTTAAACTGATCCACAATATCACTTTTGCTTTCTGTGTTATAGGAACTTTATAGCGGTAGCAGAGACTGTAATATTCTTGCCTGGGTACCATCCTTATATGAACCACTTCCTGAGGAAGATGAGGTAAATATTATTTGTGCAAATGGTACAATAACTTCTAAATCAGAAGGAATAAATTTTATTTATATGGGAGAGACTTTTAAAGCATGTCTTGCTGTTTCCTGAGTGTAAAAATAATTTGTTGCAGCACATTTGGAAAAACTAGGAAAATATCAAAAGAATATAGAATTTCTCAAGTTAAATTAATAAGCAAATTTTTATTTACTTCACCTTTGTTTTTTCCTAGCATATTTTTTATCGTAGTTAGTATCATGGTTGGACACAAAAATTGATATCTTACTTTTCTTACTGACATTGTACAATAAACCTTCTGTCATTAATAACTATTTACAAACATTTTTAATGATACGGTGCTCTGTCATTTATGTATTACAACTGAAATATTAGTTTGTTTCTGTTATTATAAACAAAGTATCTCTTCGTAAATTGTGCATATTTCTGATTTTTTTGATTGATTCCTAGAAGTGAAATTATCTCTTGAGTTATCATGTGTGACATTTTTGAGCCCTTTCACTCACATTGTAAAATTTTACCAACTTATACTTATTGTAGCACTAACAGTATCTATCTGAGAGCATAAATCAGTATAAATATGACAGTGTGAATAAAGAGCAGTGGGTAAAGAAAAAATGAAAAAGACATGATCTCTAGGCTTAGGTATTAGCCTATTAAAAAACAAATGTATGCCAAGCAGTAGTAACAGATTATCTGAAGGTGTATATCTCTACCAAGGATTATTCTACTAAGCACTATTAATCATCCCCATACATCTAAATTTCTAGGATATAAAAAGTATAATGTCTAAAGCAATGTTTATATAATTTTCAAGTCAGAAGTACAAATATTGTAGTTAGAAACACTTTAAGATAATCTTAACCCAAGTCATAGTAAAAACAAAACATCTTAAAAGGATGTGGAAGAAAGTTCTTGATAAAACAAATTGGATGTGGTAAAAACATTTTTCACATATTTAGTTCCTTTATGTAAATAGGACTATGTCAAAAAACACATGAAATAAAATTTGTGTGGTAGTTGATAGTATCTAACAGCTCTTGACAAAATATATTTTATACCTTAATTTGCAGCTCCTATGGCTTATTACAGTGAAAAGCCTGAGAATTATTTTCTTTTGACCCTGGTCCAAATGAAAGAGAGAAAAAAACATGTGTTGATAAATCTGAAGGCAGTTGGCCAAATACTATATGAGTGTGTCCAAATTTTGTCACAAGTATGATTTGCTTTATTATGGCTTGATTAGTTTTAGCATACAGCTGATTTTGATGACTGAATATTCTTCAGTAGAAAGTTTAATATGGTCAAATAGTTTAGCTTAGCCATTTATTTTGCATTATTACTTAATTATGTATACTGCTTTTTGGTAATTACTATATATATTAAATCAAAGACATAGCACTGTGAGTCATTTTAAGAAGTATAATAATCATTTACCAAATAAAAATAATAAAAATACATGCAAAGTAAATTTACTGTGGCTTATATAGAGAAAAGAATATTATGAGAAAACAAAATTCCTTATCATGAAGATAATTTGTGAGTCATGGTTTGTTTCCTTGTTATGTAATTGTATTGATAGTTTGAACTCTCCATCTAAAAGAACTTTTATATGAGAAAGTAAGAAAAACAAGTAGAAAGTAAAATAGAGATATACAAAAACAAATGAGCTTGATAATTTAAGTCTTAGCACTATAAAGCCTTTTCTTTTAAAATACACTATTCATATGCTTTAACTTTAAGAAAGCAGTCATTCTAGTACTAATATAAAGTAGTACATGCTAAGGTTTTTTTCATAAAACCTTAGTTTGAAAGATTCTTATGAATATAGGTAGAATATGTATGTGATCATGATGCACATCTCAGTAGTGAAGTCTGTCTGCCCAAGAACCTATTCTTTACGTGTATGTTTATAGTTTCACTCATATTGAAAAATATTTTAATCTCAACTGTCAAATAAATAACTACTGCAGTTTCCCAGGGAAGCAACGTAGCATGGTACAAATAAAACATACACATACACGTACATAAACCTGGGTTTGAATCCTGGTTCTGCCATTTATTACCCAGCTCTGCCAATATTACCCTAGGACAAATTTATAGTATTTCCACATATCAGAACAGTTAAAGCAAAATTGTTTGTAGGTTCCCTTTCAAATTTACCTTCCCCCTCAACCAAGATATAATCCCTTAGGAGGAGGAATTTAATTCTAAGGAAACTGAGCAATATTAGATGATAGGAGCGAGTTTTGTGGTCTTTAAGCATATGTCTCATTATTTCATTTTCAGGCTGTTTTATAATATCCTGAGGGTTCTGCCTTTTTCTCCTACCACTTTCTAAGTGGTCATGCTCAAGTCCAGCTTGTCTGTAACTCGTAATCACTTGTTGCCTGCCTGTGACTTGCAGGGAAAGTACAGTTTAAATATGATTTCTCATCAAGAATCTTACTTTAGTTTGAGTCACACAATGTATACCTGTTTTACTTACCACTGGGGTAGATGTATAGTCACCTGCTGACACAGAAAACTGAAACTTTCCAAAAATGACCAGTCAGAAATTTGAAAGTTACCAAGATATATCTCTGCCTGACAGATGTTCATTTTGGTTTCAATCCTCCATTTAGACCTGGACTAGGTTCCCTCTAAACTCATGCTTTTTCATTCCCCCCTAACATTCACAACTGTCTGTCAGTACAACAAGCAACCTAGTGAGGTAGAAATGAGTAATTTCATGCAGAGACTGGCTCTCTACTAGGAGGACACGTAGAGAAAACCAAAGTAGTAGAAGGTAGTTAAACTTTCCACGGGGGTCTCTAACAGTAATATGTGTATTAAATCTATTTACAACATTTTTACTGTAGCTTTTAACCACGAATGTGATATTTTTGTGATTGTTTTAGCAACAAAATATATTTATAATACTGTAATGTATTCATATCTTTGTTTTACTACTATAAATAGTAATATATATATATAAAGGCATTATAATTTTTATTTATTTGTGTTTCTTTGCTCACCTTACCAACCATAATTTATAATGAAATATAATTTTATTTTTCTATTGAGTCTTCAAATGAAACAAAAAGCTTAGTAGCTTATATATTGGGATTCCATAGTGAAATTAGGAGGCCTGCCCTTTCTGTGACCTGTTCAGGGACATTTTTGGTAGATAATCTAAGGCAGAATTAAAACCCTCTAAAGATAGTAGAGGAGAATCACCTAACCCAAACTCTCACTAAATAACCTAACTTAGTAGTTAAGTTCTCAACTCAAAAAGACAGGAAATTCAGAGTACATTCAGATGAAAATAATAATAATAAGTGAATAGACTTGAATATACTATTCTTACATATAAGTGGACTACTGCTAGTTACCTGGGGTTTGACCATAGTTTTGTATCTGGACATTTGGGAGCAGATATATGAAATTTTGGTTGTACACCTAAATGACAACAGCCAACATTAGATTTAGTAATGTACTCTATTTAACTCTATAAAGAATGACTACATTAATATATTGTTTTCCATATTCCCTAGCTGACACTCAGGAAATTTACTGGGAATATGAACTTTAACACTCCCTTTTTATTGAATTAGAAGATTCTGAGTCTTCATGTTCATCAAAAGGAAAATGAACATGCTCAGATGCACAGTAGGGGTTCCCCTTAACATATAATATTTCTATAAGTTATAAAGGCAATACATCTAACATAATTTAAGAATAGTTTTGGAACTGATACATTATTGGACTTTGGATCTGAACAAACTGACAAATGTACAAGCTGCAAAATAAGAAGCAAATTTAACTCATACACCCAGATACCTTTAAATAATGCCATTATGTTTAAGCCCTTTTAGTCCTTGCCAAAGAATAAGAAGGTAGCCATTCAGGTTTCCCAAACGAATTGATTTGATAATTCACAGATAAGTTACCTGCTATAGGGTAGTTGCTGATTACCTCTATTAGTTATGGCTCTAAGTTGTGAGTACTGTGATACTTTCTTATTTTTTAAATAAACACTATCCAGTGCATGTTATACTTCGGAGAAATCTCCCCGGAAAGCCTATGTCCTAATTACAAACTTCTTACCATTTCTGATGAGTTTCTGAAACATTTTGCCAACCTTATAAAAATAAGCAAAGAAACCTCATGATTTAATAATCCCCTTTACTTTTTTGGTGTAGAAATATTACTCAGCTTAACACCTATTTCTCACATATCAGTATTTGTTTATTTGTACAAGTCAAGTTCATCCAACAGTGAAAAGTTGCTGCGATTAAGTTATATAATTAGTTGCCCAGTGAGACTACAGACCTAGAGCCCCGTCTTTTTTGTTTTTGGTACCGGAGATCGAACTCGGGACCTTGTGCTTGTGAGGCAGGCGGCAGAACCACTGAGCTAAATCCCTGGCCCCCTAGACCCCAGTCTTAACCCCATGATGTCAATGTTCCTCCTTCTCCAGCTAATTCCAGAAAGTTACAGAAACACCCTGAGCAACAGCAGCATGGTATGTATGTATGTATGTATGTATGTATATATTTGTGAGGTGAATACTTTGAAACAAACACAAGTTATTTGGATAAAGTCTGGTATATCTGTTTCAAGTGAAGTTACACTGTCTTCTCTATGTATTTAGGGAGTATTTCTTACAATATCTAATGGCTATTCATAATGGCATATTCCATAACTATTATGAGCCTAAAATTATAAAGTGGAAAAATAAGATCTTCCTTTTTCTTTTTCTTTTAAGACTAAAACCAAGTCACGGTTAAATCCAGCTTTTGAAGATGCCTGGAGCAGCAGTGATGAGGAAGGATGACTGTCAGCCTTGAGGACCTTTGTGTCTCTAACAATGAAACTTTTTAAACAGCACTGTTCGTGTGGAGGGTTTTTTAACTGTTTCTTCTATTCCTAAAAATTAAATTAGTCTTGAATTTGGGTGATATTTTTCATTGAGGTTTTAAAATGAGGTTAATATTTGTATGAAATCCTAAACAGACCTCTAGGCATCTATTTAATCAAAACTGGTCCCATTGATCCTGCCATCGCCAGGCAGCCCCCATTGCTACAGTGTGAGAACAGAAGTTGTTGTGTCTCAGCTAGGGTCTTGAGCTAATCACATGAATGTAAAACACAGTCTGAGAGGATCACCAGGTGGAGGTTATCGGCACCCACTTTCTCCAACTGGCTGTACCATCGACCTGCTTATTTCCACCTCCAAGGATGATTTTATGAAGGATTACCACATAAAACAATGATAGTTGAAAAAGTAGCATTGAAATTATGTGTCCTTTTTAATTTCCTTATTACATTTCTTTTTCTCGATTTTTATTTTTTATTAGTACATGCTTGTAGTACATAATGATCACATTCCGTATGGGGAGTTGGTATATATACTGTATGTAACACATCTTAATTACCCCCATCTCTTGGTCCCCTTACCATTTGCAAAAGACCTCCCTACTTCCTTTCTGTATCTTTCCTTCTTATTCATGTATTCACATTTTATAATGATTTCCTTTAGCTGACCATCATGTACCTGCATGTTGAACAGTTTTGGGCTCAATGTCTTCTACAATCCAAACAGTATACTGTGGGGAGGTCTTTAATTTATGGACAGTCCCGTGTTTGCTTCATTTTAACATCAGAGAGCAGTCTGTGTACTCATGCTTGAACTCTCTTTCTGTGAAACTTTTTAAGATATAACCAAGTCCTGCCTCATTCATCCAAGCAGAAAATGTCTGGCATAAACATGAATGTCATCATAAAATTTCTTTTGTATTCTCTTCTTGTGTCAATCCATGAGTGATTTTTTTGAAGCTAATCCCCACTTCTCATGATCCTGGGAATTGAACCCAGGATACGCTAGGCAAGGACTCTTCCACTGAACTGTTTGATTTTGGGAAGTTATCCTGAGTTAGTTCTTCATTTATAGAAAGGTAATAAAGTACACCTTACAAGGGGCCAAGGATTTACCTCACTGGCACCGCACCTGCCTTGGAAGTGCAAGACCCTGAGTTCGATCCCCGGTACCAGAAAAAAAAAATACACCTGATAAAGTTGTAAGAATAAGTTTTGTCCTGTAAAAATCACTTAGACCTCTTACTTAAAATCTCAATATTACTAGCTGGTGAGTGCCTATCAAAATTCAATCAGATTTTACCTCAAAGGCATGATCTATGTATCTAATTCACCTTTCTCTCCTTTCTAGAATGTGTGTTCTATGAGCGCAAAAAATTTGTCTACTTTGTTTATTGTTCTAGGACCTAGAATTTTGTTTGGCAAATAGTTGATGCAAAAAAAAAAATGTTCAATTAACAGTGAAAAACACCACTACCAAGTCCTTAACTGGGTAAAAATAACTATTCTACTTACAAATTATAAAGTTCTTAATTGACTGCTATTTTTGTAATTTATTGTGTATGAAATTGTTATTAAATATTAGTTGAGAAGTGTTTGTAGGTAAATGGATGCAACTTGGGAACATAATGTTAAGTGAAATAAGTCAGATACACAAACTTAAATATTGCATAGTTTCTTTTATATGAGAAGCTCAAAAAAATATACAAATAGCAAAACAGAAGACAGATAAATAAGAAATAGGGAGAAGTTTAAATAATTCTCCAAATTACCTATTCCATTGTTTCAAAAATACTTCAATATATATGGTAATTTATTTCATTTATACTGCTAGTTTCTCTTAATTCATTGGAAAGTTTTGTGTTATTCTTTTTTTTTTTTTTTTGGTACCAGGGATTGAACTCGGGACCTTGCGCTTGTGAGACAGACGGCAGAACCACTGAGCTAAATCCCTGGCCCAAGTTTTGTATTATTATCTGTTTGTTTCTTCTTTGTTAGGTCTTTTTTTCTATGTTTTGTACTTTGAGTAGCTACTTTTCAGATAATGATATGCAGTGTAGTAACTATTGTTATTCTTTTACTATATTGTCGTGGGATTTTATTTTTTCATAAAATAAAAAAAAATTTGCCAACATAAAAAAAATAGACTAGACCAAAAATAAATGAATAAATGAATAAATAAATAAATAAAAGTAGATAATCTGGGTGATTACAATAATCTTATAATCTTTCTTCTCACAAAATAGCATCAGATCCTTTTCTCAAAGTTCCTATTGGCCTGTACACTCAACATAGATCCTCACTGACACTTTCTAGTGGACTCTATGGGGCTTATTAATTATACCTATAGACAGGTTATACTGGGGCTCTTGCCTTGTAAATCTCAATATTCAAACAAGAATAGGGGAACATTGTGAAACTTTAGTTCAGATTTCTTTATGGTGTCCTCTTCCCAGCCCATTGCCACATGATAATATGGTTGGACTACATTTATCCATTGCACTTGGCTGTAAAGTCCTGGGCTTTCTTCTCTTGTATTTCTCCATATGGAAAAATGACAGATATTTCCAGAAATTTTACACTTCAGTTCACTGATTATTTTTCTGCCCAGAAAGAGTATGGGAAAAATAAAATGAGAGCTCACAGTCTCAAATGTTCACTAAAGACAGAAAGACATAGTACATGAATGAAGGGACAAGGTTAGCAAGAATCATAAAAGAATAACAATAATATTCTTAATTTTTATTCTGCTGTGATACAAGCATGCAATATAATAAATATGTGATATTAGGGGTTACATTTTCTGATATAAAATTCAAATACTCAAAAATAAAAATATTTTGTTGTGTTTTTCTTCTATAATTCATTATTTTTATCTTCAACTGGAGAAATGTGAAATTATTCTCCTGTACCACCTGGGATAAATATTAATTTCATTCAAATAATGTAAAAGTTTTTCACAGATTCCTCACTAAAAGAAAGTTAGGTCACTGGGACATGCCTTTGAATGGAGTATAAAAATTACAGTCCCTTCCTCTTTGCTTCCCAGTTGCCATGAGATGAGCAACTTCATCCACCACGTGCTCCCACCATGATCTACAGTAACACTATAGGATCAAGCAACCATGCACTGAAACCTCTGAAACTGAGCCACAATTAACCTTCCCTTTTTAAGCTGATTGTCTCGGGGGGTTTTTTTTGTCACAGATCAATTCTTAGCCCTGCAAAACATAATCATCATTTAAATTTTTTGAAAATGACTTCTGCATATGAAAGTAGGCCATATCTTTCCTGGCTGAGTTTCCCAGTGGTACGGTTTGATTAGGAATTAGATGAGCAAAATAATTGAGTCATTTGTGTAACTAGTTGTGAACACACATGCAGAAAAACAGTATATTTAATGTCAGCCAAAGGACCAATCTTTGACTAAATCTTCACTAATAAGTTCAGTTCACACTTGCTTTAGGTAACACAAACCAGTATTTTAACAACCATTCACACATACACACACAAAATCCTTCAGTCTCAGACCACATCTGTTGTGTGGATAATATAAGTACAGAAAGCATTGATAGATTTCCTTTAGATCAAACCACGGTAGCACCCCTATTTCATAGTATGAATTACCACATTCGTGACATATTCTTTTTTCAATGAAATGAAATGAAAAAAGGGCTGAAATTAAGCGAGATAGGGAAGGCTACAGTGCGGGGAGTACCAGAGGGTCTGTTGTGTACATTTGAGTTCAAGATATATATTAGGCATCCTTGTGAAGAGGCCCAATTTGGAGTTCAAGAAAAAGAAATATGCTGGAGATACACATTTGAGAATCATGATGATCATGTAGAAGGCATTTAAGCCCTGTCTTACTCAGTTCACCTAAAGAATGTAGATAGATGAGAGAAGACAATCAAGGACTAAACCTTGGGGCTCCCCAACATGAAGAGGTCAGGAGATGAGGGGAAACTGCTGAAGAGACGGAGCAGGAATCTCCAGGAAAAATAGGAGAAAGTACAGGTAAATATGGTATCTTAGAGGTCACGTGAAAACAGTAATTCATGAAGACAGTAGTTAATTTGTCAAATAATGTCAGTAGGGTGGTTAAGATGAGACTAAGATATGATCATTGGATCCTGCTTCCAACAAATACATCTACCTGGTCCTAGTACTGGAACAGGAACATGACTCTTGAAAATATGTTTCTCTGCCAGAGCCAATTTGAATTAGGAGTTTCTATTTAGTGTTCCTTTGGCACACTGTGCTTATCTAAATATAGCATTTAATTACTCAAGGAAATTTTATTATTATTTGCAAGGTACTACTGTGAATTGACAATTTTTTTAAAAAAATCACAAGTTCTATCACAAGGAGCTTTCATTTAATAGAGGTCTCAAGGAACTTTCATTTTCATTCAGGTATGGAGGGGGACAGACAGCAATATTTTTAAAAGTTTCAATAGTATGGTGATAAGCGCTATATAGAAAAAAAATGCAGGGAAGGTGAATAGGGAATGTGAGAAGTTTCAGTACTATGTAATATCCTCAGAAAAATCTTCTCTGAGCAAAGACTGGGAGGATGCAAGAGAGCATGCCATGTAGGTATCCAAGAAGTAGACACATTCTGGGTGGACAGACAAGCACAGAAGTTCTGAGGCAAAGCATGTCTGTCATGTTCAGGAAATAGCAAGGAAATATGTGCAGCTATATTAGAATACACAGAAAGGAAAGAATTTAATAAATAAGGACTAGAGACAGGTAGCAAGTGGCAAAGGGTCTTTGCAAAGACTTGGTACATTTTCTGAAACAAATGGAAAGCTTGAAGAGTTCTGAGCAGAAGAATATGAGATCTCTCTAGTCACCGCTTTGATATAGACTCTAAGGGTTGGCGTGGGGGGGTAATAGCTTAAGCAGGCAGCCAGGTTAAGAGGCTATTGCAGAAATTCAGATGAAGTTAAGAAAACTAGTCCATTAGCCAGGTGTGGTGGTACACATCTGTAATCTCTGCACTCTTGAAGGCTGAGGCAGGAGGAGTGAAAATTCCAGCCTGAGTATTTGATGATTTAGTGAGACCCCGCCTCTAAATAAAAAATAAAGAAAAAGTGAGGATGTAGCTCAGTGTGAAGCTCAGCTTGGTGTTAAGTCCCTAGTACCATATACACATAGACACACACACACACAAACACATACACACACACACATGAGTGCATGCAAATACAGGAAAGAAAGAAAGTAGACTAGTCTATTAAAAAGAAATCCAAAGAAGTTGCCAGGACTAACTAACTAGTAAATACCAAAGGGAGACCAAAGAAAATGCTAACATTTTCTGCTTTCTGCTATCGTATTATATTAGCTGAGGTTGGCTCACTGTTGTAACAGATGAACTAAAAACCCAGAGTCTTCATTTAATATGATTTTGTTTATAATTCATTTAAGATCTGTCTTAGTTTTTTGTTGCTGAGAGCAATATCTGACACATAATTTAAAGGAGGAGAGGTTTATTTTGGCTCACAGTTTGTAGAGGTTTTAGTCTATAATCAGCTAGCATACCAGAGAATTGCTCACTGCATGGCAGGCAGGAAGCAGAGAGAGATTAAGGAAGGAGAAAGGAGATTTTTTTTTTTGGGTACCAGGGATCAAACTTGGGACCTTGCGCTTGCACGGCAGGCGGCAGAACCACTGAGCTAAATCCTCAGCCCGAGAAAGGAGATATTTTTAGGCCATACCCCCAGGTTTTATCTCTGACCTCCTCTGACCAAGTTTTATCTCTTAAAATCACATTTAGCTATAAACTCATCAGTGGGCTAATCCACTGATGAATATTACACCTCTATGATCTAATCACCTCCCAAAAGCTCCACTTAAAAACACCTGAAGATTTGGGTGAAGATTTTGATATCAACCACAACATTTTGCCCCTAGCCCCCAAA